TCCCCAGTGTCCCCAATGTCCCCAGTGTCCCCAGTGTCCCCAATGTCCCCAGTGTCCCCAGTGTCCCCAATGTCCCCAGTGTCCCCAGTGTCCCCAATGTCCCCAGTGTCCCCAGTGTCCCCAATGTCCCCAGTGTCCCCAGTGTCCCCAATGTCCCCAGTGTCCCCAGTGTCCCCAATGTCCCCAGTGTCCCCAGTGTCCCCAATGTCCCCAGTGTACCCCCAATGTCCCCAATGTCCCCATGTCCCACCTCTGCGTGCCTCCCTGAGGGAGCTGCTCAGCACCGTCCACCACTGCTGGGCCTCGCGCTCCTCGGGGAACCGCAGTGCCACCGCTCCCACCTCTGCTGTCCCCGCTGTCCCTGCTGTCCCCGCTGTCCCTGCTGATGTCCCCAGGGCTGTCCCCAGGGCTGTCCCCAGGGCTGGCAGCTGCAGCTCGTGGCTGGCGGGGCCGCACACGCGGTACGAAACGTCCCGCAGGTCACACTCTGCCAGCGCCTGGGGACAGGGACAGGGACAGGGACAGGGACAGGGACAGGGACAGGGGGACAGGGACAGGGACAGGGGACAGGGGACAGGGATAGACGTCCTTGCCCAGCTCCTTCTGCAGGTCCGTGAGCCAGAGCAGCACCTCCTGTGGGAACGGCCCTGGTGAGGGCAGGTAACGGGGAGAGGGGGACAGGGACAGGGGGACAGGGGGACATGGACAGGGACAGAGAAACACGGACAGGGACAGGGGGACAGGGACACGGAGGGGACAGGGACAGGGACAAGGACAGGGGGACACAGGGGACAGAGGAACAGGGACACAGGGACACGGGGACGGACAGGGACAGGGATGGGGACACAGGGACAGGGACACAGGGACACAGGGACGGGACAGGAGGGGACAGAGATGGGGACAGCGGGGTCACCATGGGGTCACCACAGGCTCGGGTCACCCCCTGACCCACTGGGAGAGCCTGGTCACCCCCGGCGTCCCCAGGTCGCCCCCGGGACACCTTTGGGTCCCCTGGTCACCCCCGGGGTCCTGAGCCCCCCATGGACGTGTCCCTGTCCCTGTCCCTGTCCCTGTCCCTGTCCCTGTCCCCTGTCCCTGTCCCTGGCCGGGGGTGACAATCACAGGACAATCCCTTGGGGACAATCCGGGGACAATCCCGGTTCCTCCCGGGACAATCCCAGGGGACAATCCCGGGACAATCCCGGGTCCCTCCCGGTTCCTCCCAGGACAATCCCGGTTCCTCCCGGGTCAATCCGGGATCCCTCCCGGGACAATCCCAGGGGACAATCCCGGGTCAATCCCGGTCCCTCCCGTGTCAATCCCGGTTCCTCCCGTGTCAATCCCGGGGTCCCTCCCGGCTCTCCCCCCCCGGATGTCACTTCCTGTGGCGCCCCCGGGACCGGGGCAGAGTTTTCCGCGTTCTTTTCCCGTTTTTTTCCTCCTTTTCCTCCTCTTTTTCCTCCTGGTTTTCTTCCTCCTCCCTCCCTGCCTCTCCCCCCCCGCCTGTCGCCGTTTCCCCCTTTGCGGTGGCGCTGCCAGCTCCGCCTGAAGCTCCTCTTCCTCCTCCTCCTCCTCCTCCTTTGCTTTTCTCTTTCTTTGCTTTTTTTTCCTTCCCGGTTTTCTTTCCCGTTCCTGCATTTTCCCCTTTCTCCTTTTCCTTTCCCCATTTCTGTATTTTCTCTTTCTCGTCTTCGTTTTCTTTCCCATTTTTGCGTTTTCTCACTTTTTGTCTTTTCCCTTTCCCATTCCCGTTTCTGCATTCCCTTCCTTTCCTTTCACCTTTTTCATTCCAATTTCTGCATTTTCCCCTTTGCCATTTCCACTTTCATTCCCATTTCTGCATTTTCCATTTTTTTCACATTCCCATTCCTGCATTTTCCCCATTTCCCATTCCCTTTCCCATTCCCATTTTTGGATTTTGTTTCTTTTCCCCTTTCCCATTTCTATTCCCATTTTTGCATTTTTCTCTCTTTTCCCATTCCTATTCCTGCCTTTCCTCTTCCCCATTCCCATTCTCATTTTTTCATTTTCTTTATTTTCCCATTCCCATTTTTGCCTTTTCCCCATTTCCTGGTTCCATTTCCCATTCCCATTCCTGCATTTTCCCTGTTTCCCATTCCCATTTCTGCCTTTCCCCCTTCCCCATTCCCTTCCCCATTCCCATTTTTTCATTTTCTCTCTTTTCCCATTCCCATTCCTGCCTTTCCCCATTTCCCATTTTTGCATTTTCTCCTTTCCCATTTCCCTTTCCCATTTCCATTACCATTTTTCTGTTTTCTCTCTTTTCCCATTCCCATTCCTGCCTTTTCCCCCTTTCCCATTCCCATTTTTTCATTTTCTCTATTTTCCCATTCCCATTTTTTCATTTTCTCTATTTTCCCATTCCCATTCCTGCCTTTCCGCATTTCCCGTTCACATTTTTTCATTTTTCCTCTTTTCCCGTTCCCGTTTTTGCGTTTTCCCCATTCCCCATCCCCCATTCCCATTCCCATTCCCATTCCCATTCCCATTCCCATTCCTGCCTTTTCCCCCTTTCCCATTCCCATTCCTGCCTTTTCCCCCTTTCCCATTCCCATTCCTGCCTTTTCCCCCTTTCCCATTCCCATTCCTGCCTTTTCCCCCTTTCCCATTCCCATTCCTGCCTTTTCCCCCTTTCCCATTCCCATTCCTGCCTTTTCCCCCTTTCCCATTCCCATTCCTGCCTTTTCCCCCTTTCCCATTCCCATTCCTGCCTTTTCCCCCTTTCCCATTCCCATTCCTGCCTTTTCCCCCTTTCCCATTCCCATTCCTGCCTTTTCCCCCTTTCCCATTCCCATTCCTGCCTTTTCCCCCTTTCCCATTCCCATTCCTGCCTTTTCCCCCTTTCCCATTCCCATTCCTGCCTTTTCCCCCTTTCCCATTCCCATTCCTGCCTTTTCCCCCTTTCCCATTCCCATTCCTGCCTTTTCCCCCTTTCCCATTCCCATTCCTGCCTTTTCCCCCTTTCCCATTCCCATTCCTGCCTTTTCCCCCTTTCCCATTCCCATTCCTGCCTTTTCCCCCTTTCCCATTCCCATTCCTGCCTTTTCCCCCTTTCCCATTCCCATTCCTGCCTTTTCCCCCTTTCCCATTCCCATTCCTGCCTTTTCCCCCTTTCCCATTCCCATTCCTGCCTTTTCCCCCTTTCCCATTCCCATTCCTGCCTTTTCCCCCTTTCCCATTCCCATTCCTGCCTTTTCCCCCTTTCCCATTCCCATTCCTGCCTTTTCCCCCTTTCCCATTCCCATTCCTGCCTTTTCCCCCTTTCCCATTCCCATTCCTGCCTTTTCCCCCTTTCCCATTCCCATTCCTGCCTTTTCCCCCTTTCCCATTCCCATTCCTGCCTTTTCCCCCTTTCCCATTCCCATTCCTGCCTTTTCCCCCTTTCCCATTCCCATTCCTGCCTTTTCCCCCTTTCCCATTCCCATTCCTGCCTTTTCCCCCTTTCCCATTCCCATTCCTGCCTTTTCCCCCTTTCCCATTCCCATTCCTGCCTTTTCCCCCTTTCCCATTCCCATTCCTGCCTTTTCCCCCTTTCCCATTCCCATTCCTGCCTTTTCCCCCTTTCCCATTCCCATTCCTGCCTTTTCCCCCTTTCCCATTCCCATTCCTGCCTTTTCCCCCTTTCCCATTCCCATTCCTGCCTTTTCCCCCTTTCCCATTCCCATTCCTGCCTTTTCCCCCTTTCCCATTCCCATTCCTGCCTTTTCCCCCTTTCCCATTCCCATTCCTGCCTTTTCCCCCTTTCCCATTCCCATTCCTGCCTTTTCCCCCTTTCCCATTCCCATTCCTGCCTTTTCCCCCTTTCCCATTCCCATTCCTGCCTTTTCCCCCTTTCCCATTCCCATTCCTGCCTTTTCCCCCTTTCCCATTCCCATTCCTGCCTTTTCCCCCTTTCCCATTCCCATTCCTGCCTTTTCCCCCTTTCCCATTCCCATTCCTGCCTTTTCCCCCTTTCCCATTCCCATTCCTGCCTTTTCCCCCTTTCCCATTCCCATTCCTGCCTTTTCCCCCTTTCCCATTCCCATTCCTGCCTTTTCCCCCTTTCCCATTCCCATTCCTGCCTTTTCCCCCTTTCCCATTCCCATTCCTGCCTTTTCCCCCTTTCCCATTCCCATTCCTGCCTTTTCCCCCTTTCCCATTCCCATTCCTGCCTTTTCCCCCTTTCCCATTCCCGTTTCTGCATTTTCCCCTTTCCCATTTCCACTTTCATTCCCATTTCTCTGTTTTCCTTTTTTTCCCCATTCCCACATTTTCCCCGTTTTCCATTCCCATCCCCATCCCATCCCCATCCCATTCCCATCCCCATTCCCCATTCCCATTCCCCATTCCCATTCCCATTCCCATTCCCCATCCCCATTCCCATTCCTCATCCCCATTCCCATTTTCCATTCCCATTCCCATTCCCATTCCCCATCCCCATTCCCATTCCTCATCCCCATTCCCATTTTCCATTCCCATTCCCATTCCCATTCCCCATCCCCATTCCCATTCCTCATCCCCATTCCCATTTTCCATTCCCATTCCCATTCCCATTCCCCATTCCCATTCCCATTCCCATTCCTGCCCTTCCCCATCCCTTCCCCATCCCCATTCCCATCCCCATTCCCCATCCCCATTCCCATTCTCCCCCTCCATTCCCATTCCCCATTCCCATTCCCATTCCCATTCCCCATCCCCATTCCATTCCTGCCCTTCCCCTTCCCTTCCCCATCCCCATTCTCCCCCTCTCCCCGCGCTGTTCCCTCTCCTCTCCCGGGAAGTTGACGTTCCCGTCCCCGCTGTCTCCGGGCTGCAGCTGTTGCACGGGAGCTGCACGGGAGCTGCAGGGGAGCTGCAGGAGCTGCACGGGGGCTGTTCCCATTCCCATTCCCCATCCCCATTCCATTCCTGCCCTTCCCCTTCCCTTCCCCATCCCCATTCTCCCCCTCTCCCCGCGCTGTTCCCTCTCCTCTCCCGGGAAGTTGACGTTCCCGTCCCCGCTGTCTCCGGGCTGCAGCTGCTGCACGGGAGCTGCACGGGAGCTGCACGGGAGCTGCAGGGGAGCTGCAGGAGCTGCACGGGGGCTGCGGCCCCGCCGGGGGAGGATGAAGCTGCTGGAGAACTCGAGCTTCGAGGCCATCAACTCCCAGCTGACCGTGGAGACCGGCGACGCGCACATCATCGGCAGGTCAGCCTGGGAATGCTGCCCCGGGGATCTGGGAATGCTGCCCTGGGAATGCAGGAACAGCCTGGGAATGCTGCCCTGGGAACAGGCTGGGAACGCTGCCCCGGGGATCTGGGAATGCTGCCCTGGGAACAGGCCAGGAACTCTGACCCGGGAACAGTCTGGGAATGCTGACCCGGGGATCTGGGAATTGTCTGGGAATGCTGCCCCTGGGAATGCAGGAACAGCCTGGGAATGCAGGAACAGCCTGGGAATGCTGCCCCGAGAATGCAGGAACAGCCTGGGAATGCTGCCCTGGGAATGCAGGAACAGCCTGGGAATGCTGCCCCGGGAACAGCCTGGGAATGCTGCCTTGGGGAGCTGGGAATTGTCTGGGAATGCGGGAATCATCTGGGAATGCTGACCCAGGAACAGCCTGGGAATGCTGACCCGGGGAATGCAGGAACAGCCTGGGAATGCTGCCCCGGGAATGCAGGAACAGTGTGGGAATGCTGCCTTGGGGATCTGGGAATGCTGCCCTGGGGATCTGGGAATGCTGCCCTGGGAATGCAGGAACAGTGTGGGAATGCTGCCCTGGGAATGCAGGATCAGCCTGGGAATGCTGCCCCGGGGATCTGGGAATGCTGCCCTGGGAATGCAGGAACAGCCTGGGAATGCTGCCCTGGGAACAGGCTGGGAACGCTGCCCCGGGGATCTGGGAATGCTGCCCTGGGAACAGGCCAGGAACTCTGACCCGGGAACAGTCTGGGAATGCTGACCCGGGGATCTGGGAATTGTCTGGGAATGCTGCCCCTGGGAATGCAGGAACAGTGTGGGAATGCTGACCCGGGAATCTGGGAATTGTCTGGGAATGCTGCCCCGAGAATGCAGGAACAGCTTGGGAGTGCTGCCCCGGGAACAGCCTGGGAATACTGCCCCTGGGAATGCAGGAACAGTGTGGGAATGCTGCCCCAAGGATCTGGGAATTGTCTGGGAATGCTGACCCGGGAATGCAGGAACAGCCTGGGAATGCTGCCCCAGGGATCTAGGAATGCTGCCCTGGGAACAGCCTGGGAATACTGACCCGGGGATCTGGGAATCGTCCGGGAATGCTGCCCTGGGAACAGTCTGGGAATGCTGCCCCCGGGATCTGGGAATGCTGCCCTGGGAACAGGCCGGGAACTCTGACCCAGGAACAGTCTGGGAATGCTGCCCTGGGAACAGCCTGGGAATGCTGCCCTGGGAATGCTGCCCTGGGAATGCTGCCCTGGGAATCATCTGGCAGTGCTGCCCCAGGGATTTGGGAATCGTCTGGGAATGCTGCCCCTGGGAATGCCCGGGGATCTGGGAATTGTCTGGGAATGCTGCCCCGGGAATGCAGGAACAGCCTGGGAATACTGACCCGGGGATCTGGGAATCGTCCGGGAATGCTGCCCTGGGAACAGTCTGGGAATGCTGCCCCCGGGATCTGGGAATGCTGCCCTGGGGCTGCCCTGGGAATGCTGCCCTGGGAATGCTGCCCTGGGAATCATCTGGCAGTGCTGCCCCAGGGATTTGGGAATCGTCTGGGAATGCTGCCCCTGGGAACAGCCTGGGAGTGCTGCCCTAGGAACAGCCTGGGAATTCTGCCCTGGGAACAGCCTGGGAATGCTGCCCTGGGAATGCAGGAACAGCCTGGGAATGCTGCCCTGGGAATGCAGGAACAGTGTGGGAATGCTGCCCCGGGGATCTGGGAATCATCTGGGAATGTTGCCCCAGGAATGCAGGAACAGCCTGGGAGTGCTGCCCTGGGAGCAGGCCGGGAATGCTGTCCCAGGGATCTGGGAATCATTGGGAATGCTGCCCTGGGAATGCAGGAACAGTGTGGGAATGCTGCCCCGGGTATCTGGGAATCATCTGGGAATGCTGCCCCGGGAATCTGGGAATTCTGTCCCTGAAAAAGCTCAGGGAATCTGGGAATGCTGCTCTGGGAAACCGGGAATTCTGTCCTGGGAATGCTGCCCCGGGAGAGTGGGAATTCTGTCCCTGGAAAAGCTCAAGGAATCTGGGAACTCTGCCCTGGGAATCTGGGAACTCTGCCCTGGGAATCTGGGAATTCTGCCTCTGGAAAAGCTCTGGGAATGCTGCCCCGGGAATTGTCTGGGAATGCTGCCCCTGGGAATCTGGGAATTTTGTCCCCATGAAACGCGGGAATCTGGGAATTCTGTCCTTGGAAAAGCTCTTGGAATCTGGGAATTCCGCCCCCATGAAACCTGGGACTGCTGCCCTGGGAAACACTCTGGGAATCTGGGAATTCTGTTTCTGGAGTCTGGGAATTCTGCCCTGGGAATCTGGGAATGCTGTCCTGGGTTGTTGCAGGGATCCTGTCCCTGGGATCCTGGAATGCTTTGGCCGGGCAGGGATCTTTGGGATCCATCCCGTTCCAACCATTCCACGGGCAGGGAACCTCCCGAAATCCCAGGATGATCCAGCCTGGCCTGGGATGGGAATTCCATCCCAAAATCCCAGTTTTCCCTGGGAAGCCGTTCCCTGGTTCCCGTCCCTGCAGCCTGCATCCCAAACCCCTCTGCAGCTCTCCCGGAAATGCCCTGGAAAAGGCTCTGGAATTCTCCTGGAATTCCCTGGGAGGGGCTCTGGGAGGGTTTCTGGGGTCTCTGGGATCTCTGGGGCGGTTTTGGGGATCCCCTGGGGGATTTTTGGGGTCTCTGGGATCCCCTGGGGGGGTTGGGGGATCCTCTGGGGGGGTTTGGGGTCTCTGGGATCCCTGGGGGGTTTCTGGGATCCCCTGGGGGTTTGGGGATCCACTGGGGGATTTCTGGGGTTCCCTGGAGGGGTTTTGGGATCTCTGGGACCCCGCAGGATCGAGAGCTACTCGTGCAAGCTGGCTGGGATTGACAAGGATCCCCTGGGGGGTTTTGGGGATCCCCTGGGGGTTTTGGGGATCCCCTGTGGGGTTTTGGGGATCCCCTGGGGGGTTTCTGGGGTTCCCTGGAGGGATTTTGGGATCTCTGGGACCCCGCAGGATCGAGAGCTACTCGTGCAAGCTGGCCGGGATCGACAAGGATCCCCTGGGGGGTTTTGGGGTCTCTGGGATCCCTGGAGGGATTTTGGGGTTCCCTGGAGGGATTTTGGGATCCCTCCAGGGAACCCCGCAGGATCGAGAGCTACTCGTGCAAGCTGGCCGGGATCGACAAGGATCCCCTGGGGGGTTTTGGGGTCTCTGGGATCCCCTGGGGGGTTTGGGGATCCCCTGGGGGGTTTGGGGATCCCCTGGGGGGTTTGGGGATCCCCTGGGGGGTTTGGGGATCCCCTGGGGGGTTTGGGGATCCCCTGGGGGGTTTGGGGATCCCCTGGGGGGTTTGGGGATCCCCTGGGGGGTTTGGGGATCCCCTGGGGGGTTTGGGGTCTCTGGGATCCCTGGAGGGATTTTGGGATCTCTGGGACCCCGCAGGATGGAGAGCTACTCGTGCAAGCTGGCTGGGATTGACAAGCAGCTGTTCAAGCAGTTCTGCCAGGAGGGGCAGCCCCACGCGCTCGAGGCCCTGAGCCCGCCCCAGAGCTCCGGCCTCAGCCCCGGCAGGTGGGGAACGGGAAACTGGGACAGCTGGGAACGGGAAACTGGGACAACTGGGAGTGGGAACTGGGACAGCTGGGAATGGGAAACTGGGACAGCTGGGACAGCTGGGAATGGGACTGGGAATGGGAACTGGGACAGCTGGGAGTGGGACTGGGCAAACTGGGAACGGGAATGGGACAGCTGGGACTGCTGGGAATGGGGACTGGGACAGCTGGGAACGGGACTGGGCAAACTGGGAACGGGAAACTGGGACGGGAAACTGGGACTGCTGGGAACGGGACTGGGACTGGGGACTGGGACAACTGGGACAGCTGGGAACGGAATGGGACAAACTGGGAACGGGAAACTGGGACGGGAAACTGGGACTGCTGGGAACGGGACTGGGACAGCTGGGAATGGGACTGGGACTGGGAACGGGACTGGGCAAACTGGGACAGCTGGGACTGGGACAACTGGGACAGCTGGGAATGGGCAAACTGGGACAGCTGGAAATGGGACTGGAACAGCTGGGACAGCTGGAACAGGACTGGGAATGGGGACCAGGACAGCTGGGGACCGGGCAACTGGGACAGCTGGGACTGGGAAACTGGGACTGGGAACTGGGAACTGGGCAAACTGGGACAGCTGGGACAGCTGGGAACGGGACTGGGAACGGGAAACTGGGACAACTGGGACTGGGGACTGGGACTGGGAACTGGGGGATTGGGAAACGGGGACTGGGGACTAGGACTGGGATTGTGGGCATGGGAAACCAGGATTGTGGGCACTGGGAAACTGGGAACCGGGGGACTGGGAAACTGGGAAACTGGGGGACTGGGATGGTGGGCATGGGAAACCAGGATTGTGGGCACTGGGAAACTGGGAACCGGGGGACTGGGAAACTGGGAAACTGGGGGACTGGGATGGTGGGCATGGGAAACCAGGATTGTGGGCATGGGAAACTGGGATGGCGGGCACTGGGGGACTGGGATGGTGGGCACTGGGAAACTGGGATGGTGGGCACTGGGAAACTGGGATGGCGGGCACTGGGAAACTGGGATGGTGGCACTGTGGTGGCACTGGTGGCACTGGTGACACTGGTGACATCATTGTCCCCCCAGGCAGGGGGAGGGCCCGCTCAGTGACACTGTGGTGGCACTGGTGACACTGGTGACGTCACTGTCACCCCAGGCAGGGGGAGGGCCCGCTCAGTGACACTGTGGTGACACTGTGGTGACACTGGTGACCCTGGTGGCCCTGGTGACACCGGTGTCCCCCCAGGCAGGGGGAGGGCCCGCTCAGTGACACTGTGGTGACACTGTGGTGGCCCTGGTGACACTGGTGACATCATTGTCCCCCCAGGCAGGGGGAGGGCCCGCTCAGTGACACTGTGGTGACACACTGGTGACACTGGTGACACTGGTGACATCATTGTCCCCCCAGGCAGGGGGAGGGCCCGCTCAGTGACACTGTGGTGACACTGGTGACACTGGTGACACTGGTGACATCATTGTCCCCCCAGGCAGGGGGAGGGCCCGCTCAGTGACACTGTGGTGACACTGTGGTGACACTGTGGTGGCACTGGTGACACTGGTGGCCCTGGTGACACCGGTGTCCCCCCAGGCAGGGGGAGGGCCCGCTCAGTGACACTGTGATGGCACTGGTGACACCGTTGTCCCCCCAGGCAGGGGGAGGGCCCGCTCAGTGACACTGTGATGGCACTGGTGACACCGTTGTCCCCCCAGGCAGGGGGAGGGCCCGCTCAGTGACACGTGCAGCCGCAAGACGCTCTTCTACCTGATCGCCACCCTGAACGAGGCCTTCCGGCCCGACTACGACTTCAGCGCCGCCAAGAGCCACGAGTTCAGCCGCGAGCCCAGCCTCAACTGGGTACGGACTGGGAGGGACTGGGAGGGACTGGGATGGGGCTGGGATGGGGCTGGGATGGGACTGGGAGGGACTGAGAGGGACTGGGATGGGGTTGGGAGGGACTGGGATGGGACTGGGATGGGACTGGGATGGGACTGGGAGCACTGGGATGGACTGGGATGGGACTGGGATGGAATGGGAGGGACTGGGATGGGACAGGACGGGATGCAGGAATTGAGATTTACCTGGAGGCAGGTCATGGAATGGGAAAGTTCTGGAATTGCGGGGTGGTTTGGGAGGGAAGGCATCTCCGGGATGATCCCGTTCCATGGGCAGCTCCAGGGTTATCCTGGGATGTTCCAGCCCGGGTTCTCTGGGAATTCCATCCCAAAATCCCAGTTTTCCATGGGAAGCCGTTCCCTGTTTGCCATCCCTCCAGCCTGCATCCCAAACCCCTCTGCAGCTCTCCCAGAATTCCCTGGAAAAGGCTCTGGAATTCTCCTGGAATTGCCCAGGAAGAGGCTCAGGGGGGCTCCCAAATCCCCCAGGGCTGGGGAATCCCGAATTTCCCTGGGAATGCTGTTCCCCCATCCCCCTTCCAAGTCCCCCATCCCC